ATGCTTCATCCAACATCTGGAGAGGTTATCATCGACACGTTGAATTAGGACAGGTCAACATGCAGGAAATTATGGACTATAGCAGTCATATACAAAGCAACATGTCTCTTCTGAGATCCAATCAATCGCAAGGATTCGACCGGACTGGTGGAGAAAGGCCGGTAATTTATCAGGGAACATGAACACACGCCACACGAAACGCAAAGAATGAAATGGATTGCTTAGACGCTCCCATGGTGTCCTTTGAGCAACGTTTTGGCTTTTAGCAACGTTACATGTCTCCTGTTGCCGAACGATGTTGTGAGGAACAACATGCTAGCAGCTACAGCAAGCACCAAGAAAACACTGACGTACTGAGTGCTATGCAGGTGAATGCTTCTTGCGGTACCCCAAAAAGCGATGTGCAGTGTTGACACCAGCACAAACTGACTATAGTAGTCAAGGCAGCTTCCGGCTGCCTTGATTCTTTAACGCTCCGGGTGAAAAAAAATAGAATATACATATATATATATAAATAAAAATAAATATACACACACACATATATATATATATATTTATTTATATCAGTGCATGCAGGAACCACTTTTACCTTTGAAATTTGATGTCGGGGACTTTGTTTGGCGACCATCAGCCCACAAACCAGGGAACCCTTATCCACAAAGCATATGTGTATATATAAATATACTTATGGCATTGTATATGTATTTCCCATATTTATACACACATGCATGTTTAAATATGTATATATATATGTGTGTGTGTATATCCGTTCATCTTCACAAGGATAGAAAGAAATTTCACGCAGGCGTGTGTTCATACGTTTTTTCCTTACATGTAGGAGCAACCCTGGAAATGTTATTTGTTGTTGGGAAATGGTGGAAATGCCACCGAGGAGATGTATCCGAAACAAACCAAACAATTGGAGATGTATTATTTAAAAGGCTGCTGCATCTTGACAGACCGGTGGTGGGAAACTTGCTGCGCTTGGCAGCCATTATGGCTGTATCTCAGTATTTTTTTAGTGTTTCCCAGACTAGTCACCAGAAAACAATTTTTTCTCCGTTTGCAAATCAATACAAACCTAGCAAGGGGTTCCGACCGAAATTTGCTTGCAAATGAATCGCAATGTCAGTCGTAAAATATTTAGCACTGGTGGCATTAAGTTCCCATTTCAGAACACCTGTGTAATCCTGCCAACTCCAGCCAGCATTTTCTCGACGCTGGTCAATGATAGCTCTTTGGCGATTTGGCGAATGGCGCAGCTCCTGGCCAGGTGCATCACCCCCTTGCCAGCTGCATTGGGTGGGCTAGCTGACAGAGTACAGTTATACATATACATATATGTGTATATATATATATATATATGTATCTATATATATATATATATAAAAATAGATCACCAGGATATAGTTTCGATACCACTGGGGTGCTAAGCCATTTGATACGTTTGCATCAACGATTCTGCACATGATCCAAACAAACTGTTTTGTAGCCATTTGGGCAACCGGTTTCCAGCAAAGGTCAAGCTAGACCCGTTTTTTCTCATGAGCGGGCCCTTGCCTACTGCCATGGATTCATGGAAGAGTGTCAGTTTCTAGATCCAACTTCATTGTCGGAAGTATTTTTTTAAAGTTCGCAGTAGCCGCGGTTGAAAGTGTGACCCATGTTGTTGTGTGTGTTTTTTTGTTCTGACAATTTGAATTACCAGCACCTCTAAGGACCTGGGAAGATCCCATGGAACTTCGCTGATGTCCGGTCTATGTCTTCTAGCTTGAGAGCAAATCTACCACTCAGCGTTGTCCAAGTTGTGGATTCGTCTTCTTGGGTGGGAGGGGCCCTGGTACAGCTGGAGAACACTGTGTGCAAACCCAAAGCTGATGACCTTGTGCTCAACTACTGTTGGATCTGTCCTTTTGTCAGAAAGTTCCGGTCCCAGATCCCTTCCCAATCCTTTCTTACAGATGTTTTCCTCTACATGGACAAGACGTTCCAGGGTCGACTACTGATACCCCAAGATGCTGGTGAGAGTAAAGTAAGCCTAGCTACAGACGAGGCGAAGAAGGTGAAGTTGTGTATCGGAGCTTTGAGGGGGCTGTGGAGAAGCACATGCAAATTGTCGAAAATTAAGATATGTTTATCTATTGGCACTGTTTGCTATCTAGGTGATGACGTATCCATACCTTTTTGACGAATTTACCCCAATATATGGTTTGTGCAGCAGCGACATGAGGTACCAATGGTAGCCATCCTCGCATCACAGAGATGAAAGGTTACTTACTCCCTTCGCCTACACGCGGAAAGGCTTCGGGGGTTGGGACCATGATTCACAAAATCTGGTTGTGTTTTGGATTTGAAGGATCCCTTGCAAGTTTTTTGCTCTATGAATTTAATGTGGCCCAGTTCTAATATGATTTTAAGCCGACCCAGTATTGTAAAACAATTTGGAAACCGTTTGTCATTCCTGTTCAGGCAGCCCAACCAGCGGACTCAGAACACGAAGAAGAAGAAGAAGATGACCAATCTGATTCTCAAAGCCATGATGGTGACAGCCAGGGTGATGGGTTGGAGGGTGCCAAGGACGGTGAGTCATCGGACATGGAGTCGGCAGGTGATCAGGGTTCGGATGGATCAGGGTCAGGTGATGAAGGGGAGCCTGGACCTGGTTCACATGTTGATGATGTTGAGCCCCAATGCGATAGCCAAGAAACTTTGATTCTTCCTGGACGGGACCAGCATGAAATGGATGACCAAGACCCCATGGAGGTTGATGACAGCCAACCCAACCCAGCTCCTACCCAATCAGAGTCTTCTGATTCCGACGTTGAGAGCATCAACACCCCCGACCGCAAGATTTCATGGAATGAGGAGTTCTTTACAACACCTAGGTTTGGAAACTCAGGGCCACGTCGCGCTGAAATCGTTGAGATGTGCATGGCGTTGATGCAGTACTTTGGAGCCAACCATCCGGACATTGTGAAGTTCCTCATTTGATATTGGCCGTAAAAAACACGTTACATTATATATGTTGATTTTGTTTCCGGTTTAGTTGAATGGGCACTTGGGTTTGCATTACATGTTCCCCGGCCCTCTGCCAATCCAGGAGCCCCAATGTGGTCGACTACATGGACCATTGTGAGTGGGCGTACGCACGATTTGGGGTGAGGGCCACCAATTGGCTATCAACCAGGGACCATTGGGAAGCCTGGCTAGCTCGGTACGAAGCCCGAGGAAACAAGGTGGGTATAGCTCACACAAAAACCAATATTTGTTAATGGATTGGACTTTAATGTTTTGTTTGGGTTCATAGGTATTTTCTCTGCCCTTCCAAAATTGACCAGAGCCTGCAACTTGTTGCAGGTGTTGAGCCCAAAGGACACCAAGGAGTTGGTTGAATCTTGCCCGGATGCCGTGATGGCAATGGAGGAGCACAAGAAGCCTGAGAAACCTGAGGCCTTTCAACTATCTGTCTTTCTGGTTTCAGTTTGAATCCTCCCTCCCAATTTTGACCTTCATTGTTGAGACCGTCAAGTTCAAGATTGCACATGTATGTCTGCTGCAGCTCCTGCAGAATTTATCGTGGTATTTTGTTTCCTGAGTTTCTTCCAGCCGTTGTGAAACCTTAGCTGTTTTTCTGTCAGGCCAAGAGCACTGACCACTTGCACCACCTCATGAGGAAGAATGCTTTCGACGAAGGGAGTGAACGGGATCGCTACACGGGGGAGCCCAGTGGGAAGACACCAGAACTTAAGACACCACCTGCTGCTTTGAAAACCTTGGAGAAGGCTTTGGAGTCAAATCTTACACCGCCTCCCATTGGTATGCAAACGGTTGTTTGTCTGTTTCAGAAAAGGTTGTTTTTCTATGTTGCATGTCTAGCGATGGTAAATTTCCACTTAGGTTGGTTCCCCAAAAACAATGTTTTCCCTGCATTTTATGAAAGAGTTTGGGACTTGTGGGGGCCTTTTTTTGGGGATCAACCGAAGTGGAAAATTTGCAGCTAGCGAGCTAGATGCCCTTTCTTGATATGATTTCAAATCTATGAACAAACATCTACATTCAATTTGATATTGATATGATACATGTAAAATATGGATTTACCATTCAACCCTTTTGTGTGCTCTGAGGCTAATGGGATCAAGCGTGCTCGGCAACAAGAAGCAAATGGGGCCCCAGAAATCCCGGACACTGACAAACCGAAATCCAAGAAGCCGAAGTCAAAAGCTACACCCAGTGGAAGTAAGGATGGTGAGGCTTCTTTCAAAGGCTACAGTCTTTGTGATTTACCGCAGGAATCATGGCCACAGCCCGGAAAAAACAATGGACAGCATGGATACACACTCAGATCTTCCAATGGTGGTGTGACTCGCACTCTACCTGGTAAAGTGTTTCACAAAATTTATATACCCCAAACGATACATTACCTGGGTGGATTCACAACCCTGACTTGCTTGCCTCATCTGTGAGCTGAGGCAATCGAAGTTCTCCTGAAGTCCAAAGCTTTCGTGGTGAAGCGGGTTGGGGGAGGCAGCAAGGAGGAGGACCATGCTGGTGTGAAGGGCCAATACACATGGTCAAAGCATGGCGGGGTGAGTCAATGTTGGGATGTTGTTCGGAAAGCTGCTTGCTGGCCCAATGCGGCCTGATTATACATAGCTCAATGGTTTGGTTTCGTGGAAGACTCTGTATATGATTCATATACCGGAGTGCAGGGGTTAAAACACTTCTTGAAATCAGAAGTGCATACGTGTCTCAATGGAAACCTCTCAGGATAGCGCAGTTGGAGCCAATTATTTCTGACTTGAAAATGATTTTCATTTTGTCGTTTGGAAATCCAAAGGTGTAGAGTCTAGACTTCAAGCATTTGCTTGGGAACCTTGACTGTGCTTCAGCTGGTTTCAGCTGCCACCTGGGCAGTTCCAAAGATCAATCCTTCAGCTTGTAGCCAGCCACCCCAATCGGACAACACCAAAAAGGCAGTCCTGCAGACGAAGTTGCCATCGCTATGCCAGAACCAGATTGTGTAGTATAGCCAATAGCCAGCGTCGCAATGTTCCATCTGCAGATTGCCAATCCTCAGATACTTCTCCCATTCCCCCTGCGCAGGTGATTCGACCTCAACATCTTCGGGGTATCCAAGTTGAAACCGCTCTGGAGGCCACAGGGTGTGTGAGTTTTGCAATTCCAAGAGATCTCAAAAAACATATTTCGTCATGTGTGTCTTTTTCGCTAATACATATCATCATAGGTGTGTCCCAGCATCCCACAATCTTAATTTTATTTCCAATCCTAATTCGCCACGAACTCAAAACCTTTCTACTGATGGCAGGTGGCATTCAGCTCCACGAAAGCCAGGAGGACACTGGGCATGTTCCACATGTTTACAGCATTCGTACAGGGAATTGTCAAGAATCACCAAAGTAAAAACAATATATATATATATATTCATAAATAAATAAATATATATATATATATGGATCTCGCTCAAGTATATAGGGATCTCGCTAATTGAAAATAGAGTTGATCTTCTCAATCTTTTCCACTGCAGGACAGTGGGGTGCCCGGATGCCCTTACGTTCAACTTGCTGGAGGCTTGTGGGCTATTGTTTATGGGATTGGTTGGTTCAGTGACATGCCTGTGTTTTGAGAACCTCTTACCCGAACAGTTTTCCCCTGCAAGTTGTTATTGGCAAACAGTTGCCCAAAAATCCCACACTGTTGAAATCAACATATTGAAATCCCAGACTGTTGAAGTTGAAATCAACATACTTAAATAAATATAGTTATATATATATATATGCGTAGATGTAGATTTACAGTTAAATACATAGACATAAATGCATACATGCATACATACACACATACATACATACATACATGCATGCATGCATACATACATATATATATATAATACTAAATAATATAATTGTACACATTTATAGATGGATAAATACATACGCTATATGCATACATAAAACGGATACCACACTCCACTGCTGAAATGCTGGGTGCAGTTGCAAACCATTGTCCACGGCAATCGAAGCGCCAGGAGAAAGCAAAGAAGTTGCAAAGCCATAGGTGCCAGCCAACCGCCTTGCGCGGTGTCGGATCAATGTTCTCATCTTGCCAAACCATAAACCACCAATTTGTGGGGTAGGAGGTAGGTTGTGTTTACAACTTGTCATGTAGAAAAACCAAAGGCCATTTGCACCAACTTTCACCCATCATGAAGGATTGGATCAAGAGATCGTTCTGGCCAACTCCGTGTGAGTGAGTCATGGGGAAAGGAATCCCTATTAGGGCCCGTGCAGCCAGCGCAAGCATGCCATATGGTGGGGCTGGCAAGCGCAAGCCTCCTACTACTTGGAGGGGCAAGCCAAGGGCTTTCACCGTGACCGGCCTTCGGGCTCTTCGTGCTCCATGGGCCCGGGTTTCCAAATCCTTAGATTCAAAAAGTTCCAAACTTGGGGAAATTTCATCCATGGAATTCTAAAGCTGCTTCATAGTAACAAATGGTTCTTGAACGGTTCTTGTACAAAAACGCAACATATATTTGGTGCTAGTTTCGCATGGCAATTTTCCTGTTTTAGCGGGCCCCCAAATGGACCCCACCAAGTCTCTTAAAAAGGTTCTAAAACCTGAGTTTTTGGGGAAATGAATGGGACTTGGTGGGGTCCATTTGGCGGACCGCTGAAACAGGAAAATTGCCAGTTTCGCAGCTGGCAGGTCCTAGTGATGCTGGTTTCAGCGATGTTTGCTTGCCCTGGGTTGGATTGGAACTCTCCTCAAGACTCCGTGGAATTGTTTGCTGGTGACTGCAGCATAACCCGTGGAGAGTGGAAGGACTACAAAGCCCAACATTTCGGACTAAAAACATTTAGTGGCCCATCCAACTAAATACCAACAGGGGTTTATAATCAGTAAGAAATGATGATTCATAAAATTTCAGAACAAACTTTAGGGTGTAGTTATATGTCTTTTTGGAATGAAGATTGGTCCCCAACATCAGAAATGATTTCATTCGACCAGCTTGTTTCCTGTGGGCCCCCAAAACCTTAAATTTCGCCCCAATTTTGGAGCCCTTTAGGGTTTCATCTTAAGGTTGGAATGTGTTTCACAGCTTCTACTGGATTGCCCCAATTTTGGAGCCACCATTTCAAACCCTTGAAAAAATTCACAGGTTGAATGCCCCGGAAAACATCCATCTTCAGATTGATTCTGTTCTGGTACTATAAACCGATGTGAAATGTCAACCCCAGCCCAAATCCCAAACGATGGCCTGCCATGGTTTATGTGGATCGGGGATTACTTGTTGAGGCCAGCATTCCATTCTAAGCATGTGTCACATGTTTGAAAACCGTGAAAAAGAAACAGCAATTGGACTCCATGAGTCTTCAACAATCATATTTGTTCCATCTTCTCCTCAACAACGGGTCTTGGATTCCTCTTTACCTTGTAGCAGCCTGATTGTTGCACAGGAGAGCCGCCATTCTACTCCGATGGACATCCGCTTTGGAAAGCACCAGGACATCATGACCGATGCAGGGTTCAGCAACATGTTGTTTCACGTGCTTAATTTGCGGCCTGGTGCCGCATTATGGGCTGCACCAGTATGCAGTACGTGGGTGTACTTGATCCTTTGCATTACATTGGTCTATTTGTTGAGTTTGGGAAGGTTTGATAGGTTGATCTAGCAGTCCATTTGTAGTTTGCTGGGTTGATCTAGCAACCCAAGATTTTGTTGGACCTTAAGCGGCCATTAAGGTCTCGTGGCAGCACTGGCCGAACATCCAGCAATCCGATGGGGCATGGAGAAGGAGTGACAGGACTCCACAACATAATGGTGGGGCGCGTTGTTTGCTTGCTGGTCATAGCCATGGCCAAAAAAATTTGGTGGTGCTTAGAGCAACCAAAGGGGTCCCTCTTGGAAGGCCATGTCTTGTTTCAGCGTATGCTTGGTCTACTACATGTCTCGGTGTCACGAGTCTGCTGCAGTCTTGGCCATTTTGGCGCAGATTCAATGAAACCTGTTTGGGTTTACAGCAGTGCCTCAGCTTGTGAAAAGACATGACAAGACAACAGCTGATCCCATTTCGAGGAACTTGGTTTCTACATCAACCAGTCTTCAAGTTGAGGAAGTCCATTTGACATTCCAAATTCCACCCATGTTCCAGTGGTTGTTGGTGCTCCATGCGCTTGTTTGGAAAACACTGTCGTGAGGGGTTACCACAAACAAGATTGCTTCTTATCCATTCCCTCCTTGCCCAAGGTGAGCCAGAGGTAACTGAGTTCAACGATTTCGCTGACAGATCCCTTCGTCCTTCAAACCCACTGATGGTGCGGCACTACACCGACTCACAAGGCAAAGCTCGTATTCAAGGAGGCAAAGCTCTCAAAGCTTCACAGTCATACCCAATGAAGTGTTTTGGATCTATCAGGGTATGTTCTTCATTATTTTTGTATGCTGGCTTTAATATCCAAATAATCAAAACAATTGTAGCATACAGAGCCATAGCAGGCCATATCTCAACCATTCCTCAACCTGAGCCCCCAAAAATGGATTCCTTGTTGTTTTAACATGTTGTCACCTGCCCTTGCCAAGGTTTGGCCGTGCTGTTGCCAGGGTCCGGTCTCGCTACCTCAAGTCCAAGCGTCGGGCGGCACATCGTTTCCTGCGCAATGCGCTTGCTGCTGGCCAGGGTTTGGATATGGATGATAAAGTGAGTAGGTTCTGGATGGAACATGCCAACCTGCAACCTATTTTTGCCTATCTGGCCAACCAGTGATCCTTGTGTGAAAGCGCAAGAGGTCCCATTGCAATTTAGGTGATGTGGAATACCCACACGGAAAATTCAGTTCGTTCAGCCATAGGCTTACATTTAGGGGAAATGGAGAAAAAATGTCAGGCTTTCCCATACCATCTTTACTTTCAAAGTTCCTTTTCAACATGTGCTGGATCCTTTTGCTAGGAATTTCTATGCGTCTAGCCTTCAACTGCCCACTGAATGATCTCAACATATCCCAGCCCATAACCATGCAAGCTGATAAAGACATTGTCAGTGCCCCAACGCACGCAGGTCAATAAAATGGGACGATTGGTTCTCAAAAGAAGCGGTAGCAACAGAGGCCAGGACTGGTAGGTGGGGTGGATCTTGACCCCTAAAACTTTCAGAGCTTGAAATTTACAAACAGTGTGCTAACCGTGTGAACATGTTACCTTTTATGCAGAAAATGATGCAAAACTGTAAAACTCACTAGTGCGATCTGGAGAGATTCTCGTGCGATTTGTTGCGACCTATTGCGATCTGGAGAATCATTCAAAAAACTACGTATGCTTTGCATTTTTTTGCTCAAAGGGTTTTGTACGGGGTGTTTCCAGCTGCTGTCCCAGTGTGGCTGGGATGGCAAAAACGAAGAAAAGTCAAAAGAAACCCGTGTCCCAAGTGCGCAAGTCAGCTTTACGGAAGCCTAGTAGCAAAGTGTCCAGCGACACCAAGCTGCTTGTCCCCAAGAGCAACTCGCAGAAGGTGGAAGATGCCAACTTGCTTCAGGCCGAGGTTTTTGAGCGAGCAAAGAGTGCCAATGCTTTGGCCACTTCCAGTGTGAAAGAGAAGAAAGATAAGAAAGGCAACAAAGAGAAAAGCAAGAAGGAGAAGAAAGATCACAAAGAGGTAGAGGCAACGGAGGAAAAGGACAAGAAGCAGCAGAAGAAGCTTAAGGACAAGAAGGATAAGGAGAAGAAGTCTAAGGACAAGACTACAGACCAGAAGCCTTTGGAGAAGAGAACAAAGGGCGAGAGTGCTACAGACCAGAGGTCTAAGGATGAAAAGTCTGCTGACAAGAAGAAAGGAGAGAAGAAGGAAGGAAAAGAGCGGAAGAAGCCAGGTGATAGCACCAAGGCCACAAAAGCAGGTAACAAGTCGAAGGAGAATGCTGAGGCATTGGAGGCTGCCGAAAAGACAAAAGAGAAGGAGGAAAAGGAAAGGGCTTTAGCACTCGAGTTAAAGAAGGCAAGTGTGCCAGGACCCGCACCCACAACGCCACCTGCAAAGAGGCTTCGCATGAAATCTCCCACTGAAAGCACTGCCAGTGGCTCTTCCAGTATCCATACTGATGCCACCTCCACTCGCTACCAGTCCACCAAGGATATGGCCGAGGCCCACTTCGCGAAGTTGAGGCTTGGCTTGAGTGCAGCAGTGAAAGAGGCTGAGGAAAATGCCCACTTGGACTGTGCTGGCATGAGCATGGAAGGTTTGCTTGAAGAACTACGTGCAGAAAAAAAGGAAACCAACGATGAGGGCAATGAAGCTGCAGAGGAAGGAGCAGATGAAGCACAGGAGGACGAGGAAGGCGAAGAAGAAGAAGCAGAGGTTGATGAGGAAGAAGAAGAAGAAGAAGAAGCAGAGGAGGGTGATGATAATGATGATGATGAGGCTCAGGAGGATGGAGACATGAGCGATGGTGGTGATTCGAATGATGACTCGGTTTTTGAGGGTACTGAAGATGAGGCGGCCTCTGATCCAAGCTCCAGTGAAGATGATGGAGAAGAAGAAGGCAGAAAGGCTGAGGAGAAGAGCAAAGAAAATGAAGACCAGAAAGCCAAAGATGAAGCCAAAGATGAAGCCTTGCAGATCGCAATTGCCAACACCACCAGAAACAGCAACTTGTACGAACGTCAAGGGGTGTGATCCTCCATTCCAGCACAAGATATAGCCCAGTATTATCATGATTTATCATGATCTGAAAGACACTTAGATAGACTTTATCCTGTCGGTCTTTGTTGCTGACCACTACAACTGCTTGATCAACCATTACCACTGGTTTGAGGCTCTTTGCATCTGTATTTTACTATTGTTCCTCAACATCATTTCCCAGCCGAGGCAAGACCAATAAACGCGAGTGGGACCGCTTCGACCGACAGACGAAGGGAGGCCAATTCCCGACAGGACTTCAACCTCTTCTTCGTAAAAAGAAGACGGACTTGTTTGGGCTATGGTTGGATTTCGGTGAGGATTGGGATCGGGTCCAATGTGAAGTAGAAAGGAGAGCTGAGAGCACAAACTTGGCTAGGTCCGAGTGGGTTGCCGTACAGGCCAAAACACTCAAAGCGGGGATGGAGCAGTCAAAGTTTGATGAACTTATCAAGAAGCGAATCGATGCAGGTCTCTACTACCAGGATTTGGACTTCCCGTCTGATCCCATGGACTGGGGTTCCCAAATGTTTATTTTCAATGGTTTTGTAAAACAGAGTTCAAAAGTTTATAACTATCTAATGAACTTCAGGGGCTCTTCCAACATTATTTGAACTGCCCTGCGGCGCAGGAGAACTGGATCTACATGCCCAAAGGTCGTCTCTTGAGGCAGGATGAGTTGGTATCCGAGAGTGTGTCAACAAAGGCTACAAAGAAACTTGATCAGGGGCTGTTCAATGCCCTGACAGCTGAAGAGGGAGGCATCCTCCCGGCTGGTGCCTTGCCTGCGGTGAAGGCTGCATCAGAGGCTGGCCAGCGTGCAGTCTTGAGTGCCTTGGATGATGATGGAAAGCAGGTGATGAAACCCAAGCGGCAGCAAAAGGCCAAGCCAGGTGAAGCTGAAAAGATTTCACCGAAGACTGTCCTAGAGTCGGGGTCTCAAATGATAGCCAACAGGTAATTCACTGAAATGTTTTGGTTGATCTTGAAATGGGTTTCCAAATCATCACCAATCAGATTCCCACCATGGTGTGTTCCACAAAGCCGGGTTGATTAAAACTTAGTGCTATCTTTAGTCATTGTCACTCAACCGTTCTGACACGTGAACATCTCAAAGCAGATCAAAGCACTGCTGTCATGGATCTCTAACCTAAACAGAAATGATATGAAACGACTCTGAAACGTGGACATGTCTCATGGCCCTGGTTGGCACTGCGTTTCGATGACTTCCCAAACTCGCTGATTTCATTTCTTGATTTGATTTTTCGCAAGAAACCCTTGTTACTGAGCCCTCTGTGGTTTCATCCTATCACATCCAAAGTTTTACCCTAATGAATCCTTCCTTATCACCAAGCATCTTCAAAGGCAGTCTCCAAGTTTCCCATTGCAGCATGAGCCATCCAGCGATGCCCAGGCATGCCAAAGAGCTTCTACAACCAGTCCTGGACGAGGCTACCAAGGCCCGTCAAAAGAACATCCAGCTCAGGGGGATGCAATTCGCGGATGAGTTGGCTCACCAGTTACTCAAACATGGGAATGGGATGGAAACTCTTTACACCGAGCTAAAGAACAACGTGGAGATGAATTCGCCTGATGAGTCAAAGATCAAATGCACCCTTGGGAAGATCGAAACCATGCAGAACTGGTACAAGAAAGCAGAGGTTTGGTGTTGAATAAAAACATGTTTCTTTGATGCTTTAAGGGATCTTTTCCATTTCTTAAAAGCCATGGTATTTCTCTACCAGGGATAAGTGATGGGACCCTAGACTTCCATCCAAACATCACATCATTGGGACAACAATATTCAGAATTATTTGTTAGCTTGTTTATGTCTTTTTGGGATTGGATACTTCATGCGGTGCCCCCTGAGGCATCTGCGTCTGGGATTCTCAAAGGCTTGAATGAGAGTAAGAAAGCAAAGGCCAAAGGCAAAGCCAAGGCCAAAGCCAGAACTTAGGTCTCTTGAAAAGGAGATGTCTTGGGGTTAGCCATGCTTGAAACAGCATGCACTTGGAGTTCAACATCGGACAGAGCTTCTCTGACGGAAAAAAAGGATCCCAATCAATCCAGCATCAGTGGGAAAGAGCATGTCATTAACGTGGTTCCATTGTTGATTGTCGTTACCACTGCATATGGTGTCCATCATTGACATGTGCATCACTAGCTCCCAGTATCATTCGGTGAGAACACCCCATCCCTTTTGCATGATTTTTGGGTACACTGTATACATTTATTCTAACCACCCAACAATTTTCCATTGGTGGTTTGCTTCCAAAAACCGTTTTGCCAGGCAATGCTGCCAATGCCAAAAGGTGCAAACTGGGCCCTGTCTCTTCGGGTCAGAGCTTACTATTTGACACCCTGGTTGACATGGTTGGCAGGGGTTCTGCTCATGTGGAAACTGCGGCTGAAATTGCAAGGGCTGTAGAAGTTGATTCAGCTTCTCATCCTATCCATGATGGGGTTCGGCAACTTGCTGCCTGTGGTTCCCATGGGAAACACAGCCAAAACACTGAAAGGGATTTCCAACGTTTACTGCGGGGAGCAAATGGGCTGCAACTGCAACCATACAACATCAAGTTGAAATTGCAAGTCCCTTAGACTGACCAAACGTTTTTCTTTTGCAAGATAGTTTCATATAAAGCTTGGATTTCCCCCCATATATATGTATAGATATATGTGTATATATGTATATATATATATATATGTATACCTATATATATATATGTATACATATATATATATAGGTATACATATATATATATATTTAAAATATAGGTATACCATCTTACTTGCCCAACCCAACGATTGCCGAGATTCCATCAATGGAGTCGCTCTGCTCAGGTAGAACGAGACGAGGATCCTCAGATCGTGGATGCATCTGTGCTGCTACCTCATGAGGTATTTGGTGCTTTGCATAGCATGGGGGAACACAAGGCAGAGATTTGTCTACCAAAAAGTCCAATAATCATCACCCCAAGAAAGTATGATTTCAGAAAACAGAAGTTTGCAATTCCGAAAACCAACCAGAAGGGGTTATGCAGGTGGTTCCCTTAAACTTGCATAGCTACATCCCGAAGTGCACAGATCCAATACCACGTCGTAGAACACCCCCACAAGATCTTACACACACATACATATATAGATATTTTCATATATATATATATGTTCATTTATTGACTGATGTACTTATTCATTATATTATATATATATATAAACATACAACACCGGGAAAACATTGCCACATTGTTTTTTTAAACACGGATTCCTTATCATATCGGTTTGTCTCAAACGTTGGACCCCAAAAATACTGCATAGTGATTTGTTTCGATTGATTTCATTTTTGGCTTTCAGTACGGTGCGCTATGAAGTTTGAGACAAACCCAAACAACCCTGTCAGTTTCGCTCGATGATGTGTGGCGGCCATGGTGGCGATTCCATAGCCCATTTCTGGAAGCATCTCAAAACACTATCCAGCTACAAGTATCATGATGTTCTCCACAACTTGTCTGAAGAGGAATTGACAAAGGCCATACCCTTTGCTATTCATGGAGACGGTGCTGAGTTTCATAGGCATTCCGAATACTTTGTGATGAGCTGGACTACTGCCCTGCAAACAGGCTCTGGTAATGACAACCTACTAAGCCGGTTTCCTATTTCACTGGTTGCAGAATCTCACATGAGTGATGATGAAGACCTTTGGCTTTTGAAGAATTTTGTTCTTGAAGAATTTTATTCTCATGTGCCTACATCACCCTCAAAGTTACACGGGCTCCCTGGTTTTTCTGATTTCAGGGAGCAACCCCCAAAAAAGATTTCCATAGTTGTGAGTCGCAATGGCCGTCATGGCAAATGGTGCATGATATATTGAAAGATGGTTCATCTGCGTGGCTTGGTAAAGCATGACTTGTGTTCAATATATTGTTGTGCCCACGGCCCAACACAAGGTCCGACAAGGAGTCAACAAGACCCTAGCGGATGTGGTGGCATGGAGTCTAAGCTGGGCTTCGCGAGGCATCTACCCCAGCCGTGGTTTTTATGGCGAAAGGTTTGACAGCAACATGTACAGGTCTAGCTTGTCTGGAAAACAGATTGCAGGTGGCTACAAGCTCCTTGAAAAGAAATATTTTTTCATATGTTTTCTATTTGGGATGGAGCCCAACCCTGAACCATCTATCTTGCGTCATTGGCCCTCTTGGCCAGCTGCAGGTTGGTGTACATGACTTTCAAGGCCGACTTGAAAGCCCGGATGCAATGCCATAGGTTGGAACAATACTACCGTTGCAAAAAATGTTGTGACCGTTGCATGGCGATACAACCAATGGATTCACGGCCCCATCCCATGACTTACAAAAACACTGCCAGAGACGCTCCCTATGCATCAACTTGCAAGGACCACGACGAATACTTGCAGACTGCAAGGCATCAGTCGCCATGGTGTGCAGTGCCGGGTTTTCAGTTTGAAACCATGTCCTTTGACATGATGCATTTGGTTTACTTGGGCATAGCCAAAAACCACATCCCATCTTGCCTCAAAATCTTGAAGCTTTACGGGTACCACTATGAAGGAGGGGAGTCTGATGAAAAGTTCCTCAAGCGAGTTAGCATGGAAATGAAACAAGACTGCAAGGAGCGAAAGCACCTTGTAGCAAGCCAAGGTATGTTTTATAATTTTTACTGGTGTTCTTTGCATGCTTTTGGGGTGCTCCAATTCTTAAACCTACTTTCCTTTTGCAAAGGGTCTGCATGAATCAACAAGGATCTACTTGCCCCGCAGGGTTTTGAGCGTTACCAACTGTGGTTCCTTTGGTTCTGAAGACTACTGTGAGCTGGGTTCCAGGTTCAAAGCTGCCCACATTCGGGTTATGGTTTGGTGGATTGCCCACAAAGTGCAACAACTTACAGAAAACTCTGATTCTTGATTTGAACCTATTTATGATTTTTTGACCAGTTTTTCCCAGTGTGAACGGTGACCTGCAACCTTCCGTTCCAACCGCCATTTGCCAAGTCTCTCAGGACAACCTTGTCCTCCAGCTGCTGAACCTCTGCTGCCACTCCTTGGCCAAAGCGCAGGCTTTGATGGATGATGCTGGTTTAATCTTGAACCCAGACGAAGCCAGTGCCCCTTGATTTAAATATCGCATCCCAAGTTTCCTGGGTAACATTTTTTATTACCACAAATTGCAGGCTATCTTTGAAGATTCTGTCATTTGGTTTTTGAACTGTTGCAAATCATTTGCACCTCCTATATAGCCTACAGCCTCCCACAGGTGATGCCAACATCCCCAAAGGATATTTTACCTGGTATGTTCATATATGCAAAAGTTTGGATCATAGTGCAACATTATGACATTAACGCCGCTTTCTGGATGGAAAAAAAATCTTTGTGCCAGTGGCCCTCATTACTGCACTGTCCGCTTAGGAAATTTCACGGATGCTGCACCAACACCTTCGGTCAACTGAATTCTTGGCGTCGTGGTGTTGGAGTAATTCAGTTATGGCCTTCAAAATGAGGCCAAAGCACCACTACCTGTGGCATGTTGCCATGGATGTGTTGACTACAAGGGTGAACCCACGAATTCACCACGTATGGTCAGATGAAAAGTTTTTAGGTTCCATAAAAAAAACAGCGTGCCGTTGCCACGGCAGTACGGTCCAAAAAAGGACTATAGAGCGGTACCTAGTTGCCCTCTCAGGCTACATGGCCAAAATGGTTTAATGGCGTCAGTACTCCAGAAAGAAAGTTTAACAAGATTTCAATCCATACGCATTTGGGTAAACACCATTCAAAAAATAACCACCCAAAAAATCTATCTCAGTATTTGTGATGTTTACTATATAGGGAACCCTTTTTGGGAAAAACCACTGAACTGACGCTGCTGGGTTGGCTGCAGGGCTGTTGCAGCCACGATTCCAAAGACCAACAGGTCGCCACGCAAAACCAGCTTCACCAGAAAGCCACCATGGCTATCCAGGGTTGCAAGGGATGTGGGATGATTTCGGTGACGAATTTGGGCCCCCTGTTGTAGTGTGTCAACTTCTACTTTATGTTCGGAAGTTATGATTTTTCTTGGTGGGTTTGATCCACGAACTGACATTTAAATATATTTAAATCAGCATTGCCGTTGAGGGACTAAGTGTCTACAGCCAAAACGGGGCGGAAGGCCCGAAAGCAGTTCGATCGATTGGACCATGCGGGATGTAACATTAAGTAAATTATCTACAAATAGATATTTATGTATGCATATATATATAAATAAAAACATCTATATATAATGAGGTATAAATAAATAAATAAATATATATATATATATATATATATGTAGACAGATATGCATATGTAAATATATATATATAAATATATTTACAGTTACATATACGTAGATATCTATATATATATATATATATACTTGTATCT